CAGAGAAACACATACAAACACACACACACACACACATATATATATATATGTATATATATATATATATATACATTAAATATATATATATATGTACACAACCCATGAAACACACCAAACAGATCAAGACATGGAACAACTTTGTGTTTTTTGTTTTTTTCTATTGGCCTTTTCGGACCGCTGGACAGAGCGTTCGATGTTCGGTGGGGTGTCCCGGTTCAACGAACGCGTTGGTGAGGTGAGTTGGACTGGCATCGTGTGGTGGCGGTGATCAGCGATGGGCATGAGTGGCAGTTTCACGGCGGCTCGCTTCGGAGAGGTGGAAGAGAGAGGGGCGAGCACGAGCACGGGCCGACCAAAACAGGTGGAGAAGGTGATGGGTTAGCCGTGTTTTGTGGAACTATGTAACATAGTATATATGAATACGTGTCATCCACTTTTATCCATATGGGTTTGGGTGGATGGTTGGTGCGATGAAGGTGGTGAAGAGGTGAATGCAGCTTTCATCCACTTCCCCCAGTAGTGCAAGCCCTTAGAATTCTTCATATGAGGGGATGCTCACTTATGCAGTGCTTCAATTTCTTGGACATTCCTGAATTCTAGGTGGAATTCTATCCTTACCAAGTCAAGGCTCGATTAAGCTCGATTATATAGATTCCCGGATGGTTCCGGTGACGGCGATGCTTGGAAGTACATACTCACGGGACTCTTGAACTATGAAATCATGAACATCATGCGTACATTGCGACGGATTGGTCATGAGTCACCTAACCACAATGGTGCGAGTAAATCTTTTGCGATGGCGCGACTGCGACCATTCTCACACGCAACACAAATTGACAAACGCCAGAACGGTGCACACATGTGCACAAGTTTGTGATTGATCATGCAAGCATGCAAGCATGTTCTCACCATGCAGTTGTTCAAGATACCAAAGCACTGCAACACAAGGACCTCCAAAGATGGCATGTCTCCCTTCATCTTCCCCAACAGTCACAGCCGTGGTCACCGGACTCAGGATGGCCTTTCCCCAGCGTCGTTGACCTTCTGGCGACCATCAAGGCGCCGGGTCCGGTGCGTTCTACGCGTGCCCCCGGGCGCCGGTCCTCGTGGGATCCGGAAGAGAAGCGGAGGGTACTGCCGGTTCTGGGTGAGGCGGTGAGGCGGTGGAGCTTCAATCCGGGGGGGTTGGACATGGCCTTCACTGTGAGTCCGGAAAACGGCCAAGCAGGCATTTCTTTCAGGGAGGCCCACAGAGGATGGACTCAGCTGATGTTGATGAGTCAAACCAATAGGGTATGTGCCATCAGGACGAGTATGCGGAAGGCTGTTCGTGCACGCAGAACCCGGTTTGTAGAAGGAGGTGCGTCGTGGCATTGCGTGGCTGCTTTGGCTTCGCGCAGAACTTCGCAGAGATTCGTAGAATGCCCTCGCCTTTGCTGTTGCCTTTGCAGAAGTTCGTTGAATGGGCCGATGGGGTTCGAGGAAGTCTGTGTGAATGCCGTTCTGCAACTTTCAGTGAACCCTGTTTGAAGTCATGAAAAATCCTCATGACCTCCTCATGACCAATCCTCTTTCTTCCGTTTCCTGCCGTTTGCCCTTGGGCACCTGGCGGATTCGCAGGGATTCTACTTCCGCGAGAGGGACCGGTTCATCGAGATGCCGAGCCACGTGGACAAGTGGCCAGCGGCTCCATTTGCAAAGCGCGTTCCGAGCGGCCGTGAGCGGTAGGCGTCAAATTCAGAGTGGACCCATTCCGAGTTAAAGCCAAGGGCCAAAAGCGTTTTCGATACGATTTTCTCAAAAGAGATCAGTGACTGGATCAGTGCATATCAAGGCTAAGTTAGTTGTATGCAGTTCACTTGAAATTCTTTGGGACCCATTTTCGCATTCACATGATATTGGCCCGCACGCCGCTTTTTGTTCCACTCAGGTGACAGTCTTAGACTTAGTGCCCTTGAACCTACAGCATCGCTATGCACAAGTGCGGGACATCTTTTGGAACGAGGTCGCACCGCCTCGCGTGCGACGCGTCGGGCGCGATGTGTGTGGTAGAGGGGAGCTGGAAGAGGGGAGGCGACCAGGCCTAGGCTTCAAGGTCGGCCCTGGTTTTTTCTAAAAGATCACCAATGGAAAGCAGGGCATGAGGTGAAACCATTTGCTAAGCTAAGCATGCTATCAATTGCTTGTGTGTCGCCTTAGATGAGTTGAGAGAGCTCGGTGAACCGGGCTGGCGAGTGCTTTTTCACATCAGCATCAGTTGTTTCGACTACTTTTAATGATATGTCAAGTTTTTTCTATCCAATTATATGCCTGTAGCAGTCGGCAAAAAACATATTGTTTGAAGAAAGGCCTGTAACCATCATCATCCACTGTTACTGAAAATAGGATAGACCATGATAGACCTAATTGATATGTGTGTTGGTCGTTCCCCTGTTGTGGCCTGCCAGGGCCCACCAGGTTGATCAGGGCGACTTCGTCCAAATTGGCTCGTCATGTTGACTGCGCGCAGCATGGCACCACCCACATGAAATGTTTCTTACATTCCTCGGGCAACCTGTTTAGGGACATCCTCCCTCCATGAACGAGCGCCTGTATGTGCCCTGTTTTCGTGTTTTGCAGCCTGTCTCCTCCCACATTCGCCCGGCGGAACAACCCACGACCCGCCCGAATCCGCCCCCTCGAACCTCTCCTCTCCACATCGCCTCCGCGCAGGTGGAACGCTTCATCGCCTCCGCGCGGGCGAAACATTTCAACTTCAAAGATGCTCGGCACCCGCAAGTTCGCCGCAGCGGACATGGGACGTGGGACATGCACGTGGGACGACGCAGCCATAGATGCATTCTTTGAAACATGGAACCCCAAACTCACTGGGTTGTAGAAGAAAATGGTGTTCCATGGGTGATTCTCAGGTTCCATGTTAATTTGCAGGGGGGGTAGTTGCTATTGTCACTATATCGTCAACATTATATATACTAATACACTGTATCCTCTTTGGGGAGCATGATGCAGATTCCCACCACTTTGCTCTTCGGTGAACTAACTTGGGTGACAATTCTGGTCATGAGCGCGCATTCCAAGTTGTAAACATACCCAGACACTCCATGGGACTGCCATATATGCCTACATTGACCCCCAAAACCACCCCAAATATAATATATTAAATATGGCAGTCCCATGGAGTGTTTGGGTATTGGTGTTTCCTGGCGTCCGGATGTTGGGAAGATTTCAAACGACGAAGCCAGCTAGATGCTCGGAAAGACATGCTCACTGGTAGCATGGGGCGATGTTCAGAGATTGGAAAGAACCTTAACGTCCGAAACCCTTTGGGTTCTGGAAATGACACTGCAGGGTTTTTGCTTAGCTGTTTTTTTGGGGGGGGCTTTGCCTCATGCAACGCACACACACACAGATGCTCAAGTGCAGCGGCTCGACCCTGCGGAAATGCTCCCCAAAAAGAACACATGTTCCCAGGGACACTTCAGGTGATGACGTGGGCTTCGGTGTGTTCACTTCAGACTCGTGATCTCCACTGTTTGGCGTTGCACGTGCTACTTCAGGACGCTGGTCTTGGAGTGAGCGTGCGGACGGTTCAACTCAGAGCGCCGGTCCTTTAGCCAGTGCTGACCCTGGCTTCCAGCCTTCCATGTCTACATGGGCCGAAGAGTTCATGAAAACAGTATGCGTTCTCGCTTTTTTCGAGTCTCAAACCGTTTGGTACAAGGTTCACGAGCACTGATGCCCTTGCACCTGGTGCTGAACAAAACCCCGTGAAGCTTCCTCTTATTCTTTGGAAGGCCAGGGCCAAACCGCTGGGACTGACTAGCGGGGGCGAAGCCCGACGAGAATGATTCGTCGGTTTCCTCCGGAACGGACGAATGCTGCTGGAAACAGAAAAAGGACGAGATGTCCGCCCACCGTTCGTCCACGTCATTTCTTTAGCATGAAGGGAGCCAGTGCAGGACCGTCCAGGATGGGTTGATAAACCAAAATGATACGCGTGGTTGACCTTTGGACTTGTTTGTGGCATCCTGTGGGAATCCTTTGGCAAAGGCTCGGGCTCTCTTCAACCGAACTACTAGCAACCAAGTTCATTCCTTTGGCCAGCCCCATCTTCAAGTGCAGGGGGTCATGCTTGCGTTCGGACCTGGCAGCCTCGGCCCTGCATATGGGTTGCATATGGTTGCGGCGAAAACCGATCCGGGGGATGTTTGATCCCTCCCAAGTCTACACCCCCCTGGAGTCATTTCTTTTTCGTGGCCGGATGGACTCGTTCCGATTCCACAAGGATAAATGCCTTCCCGTCGACATGTCTCGTATGTTCCCCATCCCATCAGGTTTTTGCCTTCCCAGAATGCTTTTCCCTGCCGATTGTTCTGTGATTTCTTTTGGGGGGGTTGAAGCCCAGACACATTTTCCATGCACTTGCCGCACATGAACCCTGCAACCCTCCAAAGAAACATGAGACACAAAAGCGTGGACCAGCATGGTATCTCAGAATTAGAAAGATTGATGATGTAGCTGGTCGATGTTGTTGTTGGGGTGGTGGGCTGTTGCTTGTTGGTTGCTTGTTGTTTTGGTGTAGTGCAGCCAAGCACGGGACTGAGGGAAGGTTAGTTTATATAAAAGAAGGAGCAGGAGGAGGTGGAGCAGGAGAAGCCCGCCCCTCCCCCCGCAATCCAAGCCTTTCAGGGAAGAGAACGAACGAAAACGGGAAGGGAAAAGACTCCGGGAACCCACCAAACAAGGTCCCTTGGGAAAGGAACATGTATTGGGACGGGAACGGCTGATGGGAAAACAAGACCCGTGGGTGGGAAAGTAGCAATCTGGCACCAGCTAAAAGCTGGAACCCGTTTTTTTTAATAGACCCAGAACTGCCAATGACTCATTTTACATCTTTCTACTCCACGTGGTAGTCATAATGCGCCACTACCAATACCACTACCATAGGGGTAAAATGAAGCATTTGGACAATGGGACTCTGGAAGTCGACCCGGCCTGAGGTGTGTGCCTGGAGCTCCCCCGATGGTGGTCCGTGGGGATGGCCCAAGAGATCCACGAGCCGAGCGCAGCCAGTGGGACGAGAACAGTGAGAAGCAAAGTGCGATATGTTCTTAATGAATTACCTAGACGCTCCATGGGACTGGTATAGGACTGCCGATCAGTTGGGGTGGTGCCAGAGGGGTCAATGTAGGCATATATGACATACATGGAGTGTATGGGTTATAATAATATACAATATCTATTATAAGTATATATATATATAGTTCATGACTCATGTTGCATATCAGTATGCAAACCTGTTGGCCATATGTCAGGGGTTTGCTTCATGTATCCTACGGACAACATGTGGAGCCTCAGAAAGATTCTTGGCGCAGGCGGTCTGACCTTTTTGATCTTTTTGACCGCATATATAATATACATTCATGAATGAGAGGTGTCTTGATCTTTTATGATCTTGATGGATCTTCATAGGCGTTTGTATATTCATGCATTGTTCCGCTCAGCAAGTGAGCAACCAGAAAGGTTTCGAGTACTTCCTGGCCCTTTCGTAGATGCTTGATAGCAGACCTCCAGCAAAGGATTCAAAGCACATGAGCTGAATTAAGCTGACATAAATGTCAATGGGACGTAGGCTGGCCATCGCCGATCAGTTGCTGGTGTCCTTGCTAGGATACACTCATCCCCCGTTCCAGTATCGCTCATGTTCCAGTTGACTCAGGTGTTGAGCTGACAGTGTGGATTCGACGTCATGTAGTCCATGATGCCCATCCCGAACCACAGAAGAACATGAACGAGAATCTTTTCCCTGGTGGGACCAACAGCAAAAAATGTCTACGACCGTTATAACGCAAGATGCTAAGTTGTTTTGCTGACACTTCCTGCAGCATGCAGCATGTGGTGGCGTGGTAGCAGGGTGCTGGCGCCGTTCAGGCTTGTCCTCCTGGGTGTCCACCCCGCGAAGTTTGGCGTGGGGGTGCCCACGACATCAACAGGGCAGGAAGGTCAGGAAAACATACCAATAATTGGCCTATTGAATATTGGCACACAACTCTCAAGACTCAAGAAGGCCTTTTGCTTCGAAGCGCTCGCCCACAGAAGAAACCACGGATGACGGTCGTTTTGGATAGCTTCTGGCGAGTGTAGGAGTTTGACTTCGGGCAAGTTGTTGGTGAGTTTCGGGCACATCTCTAGGTTCGCAGGTTCGCAACATTCATTGAGTTTCGGCGCGGCCCACTCCACATTTGGCTGTGTTTCTTACGGGACGTTGAGGTTTTCAGGAAAGCGTCGCTCACGGCCAGTGAAAACCTCGCTCGGTCAGGTGAGGTCGGGTGAGTGGAAACGTGTCGCTCTGTGGCACGCTCCGGTCAGCCCGTGGGTTTTTGGTGGTTGGATGCTGCTGTTTTTTTTCCTTTTCCCTACGGATCCTAGTACCACCTGGACCCTCCAAACCCACCCCAAACACTTTCTGAGAAAACACTTGGATCCCTAGGGTCTTTTATGGTCTGGGGTCGTTTAAGGGTCGTTTTATCGCCTCAATTGGCTTTGACATGTTTGGAAACTAAGATGCGTAAGATCAAAGTGAGCCAAAGCGACAAGCGTAGGAAACATGATCGGGTTTTGTTCGATTTTTTGGTTTGCGCATTTCTGTTTGCTCGGATCTGAACGCCACAAAGACATGTTTTCTGCGGAATCTGTATCTGAAAGGGCTTAATACATTTTCTTACTTTCCATTTGGCTCCTCCATCAATCGACGGACAGGGGAGGTATGTTTATCATACCTGTGGCCTGCGGAGGTCAAATTTCCCATTTATCATGGTCACAGGTCAACATGTTGAGGAGTACTGTATATACATAGGTATTATATATATATATATATATTTTTTTTTTAATATATCATATTTCAACTTTTAACACATTGATAATAACGATATCTTTGGACCTGTGGCCTGGGCAAGGAGAGATGAGCCGGTCTGTGCGCGGCTTAGAACCATAGGACGACTGAAATCGATGCCGGACCAAGAGAGGTGCTTACAGACCCTTGTTATTTGTTTTTTGTTTCCGGATACTGTATTTCATGTGTAAAGGTTTGTACTGAACGAATTCTTCGCCAACACGGGGTGCTATATCAAGAACTTAGAGAGAGAAAGCGATTGAGAGATAGAACCCCCCCGAACTTTTCAGTGGACTGGGGACCTTGCTGAACCGGAACCACTGTTCAAGGGAACGTTCGCTTGAATTCATCCAGGGACCCCGCGGGGCCCATGTAGTACATCCTATAGTAATTCACTGTAATTCACAAAAAAAAAAGTCCCATGAAACATCAAACTCCTATTCTCAGGGCTTCTATGAGCCAGCTTTCGGCTCTTTTGCAGCTAAGCCCAATGGTCATCGTCATCAACACATATCACTGAATAGATTTTGTTCAATCGGATTTCCTCAGGCACTGAACATTGCAGCGGATTGTTCTTCGTGTGGCAGTAAGAGTATAATTACGAGATGTATATAGTACAAGACATATAAGACGTATAGCCAGGCTTTACAGTATCTACTTTTTTCAGAGAGGGTGCATGGCAATAGCTTGTTGGGTAGGATTCGTGTCATGGTTGGATGGCATGAAGCTTCCCTCCGTATCTTCCTTCATCTTCTTTCACCACATCATTCATGGTCTTCAGTTTCTCATGACAGCTGGAAGCTCAGAGGCTTTTCGTTCGAAGAACAGAGTCATCCGGTGCTGCCCCAGGTGTGGCGGGCCCACAGGTGTCGAACTGGTCTCCGCCGGGAGCCCTGTCCACCGGCGGACGGTGGTCGGATGAAACAGCGTCGGACAGCGTTGCTTCAGCACGCGGTGGACCGTTTCTTTGGGTTTTTGGTGCTCAGTGTGCTCATCAACCATCATCAACCATCATACCACTCAAGCATTGTAATTAGTCATTTGTGGTCCATGTAAAGAACCCATTATGTCCCATTCACATCAGATTTTGATTGTAAGGACCCCGGCCTTCAGAGAGTTGTGGTTTTGATATGTTTTGATCGCATCCGATGTAGTGTTTTTTTTGTGGTGAATACCCACCCTTCAGAAGGCCCACAGAAGTTCGGGCCACTGGAACTCGCTTCTGTGGCAAAGAGACCGCTTCTCTTTTTCCATGAATCATAGAAGCACTATATAGCCGCTGACATTGAAAGTATGTTCCTGCCCCCGCCCACCTAAGAACCATCCTGTCGCGTTTCGACGGTTTTTTACACTGTTTGGTTGTCCTGTCTTAATGTCAAAAGAGATATCCCCGATTTGAGGTCGTAAGGGTGATTTGGTCCGCCAGGAGCCAGGAGACGTCAAGAGTTGGTGCCAAAAGCTCCACGTTGACGTGCGAGTTTCACAGCCAGGCTTCGTATCAAACTCCCAATGCCCACAATTTCTGGTCGCATTTTCAGCGGCTTCGTCGTTGGTGTCCAACATCGACGGCGCGAATCTCGGTGGTTTGCCCACTTGAGGCCTGAAATGGGTATGGCGACATGGCCGGCCTGGTGCTGAGATTTCGGAGAGGGTGGCCATGTGTCAAGACATGGGGTTGCGGTTGATGTGGGTTGCGGTTGGCATATTTTCAGGTGGTGCAGGATTGGTTCCGTGCCACATTTGAACAAGTGTTGGCTTAGAAGGAAACGATTACTGTACAAGACTCTTTTACCTGCCTGTACCTTCTAATCGGGTGAGCCTTCCAGAAGACAGGGATCCAACATCCATGAGGGGCGTACCAAAACATATGGGAGTTGTCATTCTATGATGAACTAATATTGATCAACCACCATATACCACAACATAGACATAGACTAAATTCTTCCAAAACCCCTCCTCCATGAACCATCCACAGAACTCCCGTCGCCAGAAGCGTTGATTCTTTCGAGGCGCCAGCAGCGTCGATACGCCTGGGGGTGCCCAGATCCGGCATCGATCCTTGCAGCGGTTTCTTTGTGGGAAGTCTAACACCGGCAGTACCGGTGTTGTGACATCAATTGGTTTGCGGGACTCGTCTGCCGGTGGGGACTTCTTCCGCGCAAGTCGGCCGGGTGACTTGAAGTCGCGGCACCCAGGGACGGTCGAAGAACGGAAGACTAGCATCAGTTCGAGGCATCCGTTCGAGGCAGAAACCCAACAACTCGGGGCATCGGGGGCCGTTGAACATCAACTCATTTGGGACTAAGAACGATTCCTTTGGGTGTGATTTATGAATTCATGATACATCAATATGCATCATGTGTTGATTAAATATGACATAAAGTTGGGTCACAGCTGGTTGAACTGTGACTCCGTGAAGCACTGGGCCTCCATTGGGTAACACGAGAATGCGTCGATCCAGGGCCCAGACATGCCACTGGTCGATCCCAGAGGCCTAAACCCACATCAACGTGGTCGGCTCAAGCAGGAGCAAAACGAGGCAACACGAGGCACAACGAAGGCGACGAACGGAGCGATCGGACGCGAACCGAACGGAGCAAAGGGCGTTTCTACTAGGAACAAGAAGCTACAAACGTAACAAAGGGCATCGCTACTAGTGCCTAGAAAACGGATTGGCCGCACGTGCCAGCTGTTGATCGCTGAGGTAGTCCGCGCAACACTGTGAGCACGCCTCGGGAGGAGTCCCCGGTGCGTCACCCCACAGACCCGGCGGGGTGCCCGGGGACAGCGACTGAGAGGATGATCTTTGGGTCGTGTTAGTATGTTGTTTGTCAGCTTAACTTGGTCAACCAATTGTAACACAAGATGCATGTTTAATCATGTTTGCAACAGTGTTTGTAACATATATATATATATATTTTATTTTGCATATATATATACTGTATATTTATAAATATAATATATAAATATAGTGTATATATAAGATGTAGTATATATGTAGGCACGCATGTCGCTTTAATGCGCATGCTGATGCCTCAATGGGTGTTATTGGACCATACTTAGCTCCTTTAAACAAAGTCGGCTTTTGGATGGTAGAAGTTACAAACTCACTTTACTCGGTCTAAGACAATGTAATTCAGGATGTAAGCTAAGCTTATCACTATGCTGTAGCTGAGGGGGGTTATCTCTTGGCACTCGCAACCCGCAAAACCTGTGGCTGGAAGCAGGGCAGTACCGGATTTGTTCTGACCATGAGAGATGTCAATTGAGATGGCACAAGGCAGAAAAAGAGCTTGGGAATTGTTTTTGAAGATTGATCAGTGGGTCGCCCCCCCCCCATGTGGAGACAGCTGCGGCACCTCAAGTGGATGTTGGCCCGCCCCCCCGCATCTTCTCCTCGCGCGCGCCGAGGCTGAGCGCGCGGCGCTGCGCCGGGATGCATGGGACGGGCGGGCAGATGGGCAAAGGAGAAGCAAGCGATATCCTTTTAGGGCTCCTGGCCTACCTCCGTTTCGAAGATGGTTGGTGTGGGTGCCAGGGGGGTCCTTCCTCGGAGTCTAACCACTTTCTGAAGATATGGTTGGAGCTCTAGGGATCAACCAATTCATATCATGCCTAATGGTGTCGGATAGTGATTATGCCGAGCTCACCTGCAGGATGGTAGTACTGTATAACTACTATATGTACTGTAACTGGTTTTGATAGGCCACCAGGTAGATTTTCCTTGGTGTTTCTGTGGTGATACGTGCCAATCTATGGGTTTGGGCCTGGGCACAAAGGCAATGCCCAGGTCCAGGGCCTGCACGGATGCATACCAGGTAAACCCTGCACATTGGGTGGATCAGCAATGTTTGATGAGGATCAAACATGTGTTTGTCTCGTTTGTTTGGTCTAACCTTGAGGGCACCTGACATTCAAGTGCAAGTGCCTCACGGAACACAAGAGAGCCATGTCAAAAATAAGGCCTTTCACCGAACCATCACCTCATGGCAAAGACATCGATTTGGCAGGTGGTTCGCCTCTTTTCGGGACATCCTTGCATGACTTCACGTATACGTTGCGGGACGACTCGAAATAGGCGCTTCATCAAAGATTTGCTTATCTACAATGTGCCAACACAAATGCATCCAAACTTAAACAAAAAAAACAGTGCAGGCAGACCCCGTGGGAGACCCTATAGTAGGCAGCCAGAAATCAAACCTGTATACCTTTTAGCCTATAGATGCTATAGTCAGTAGGTGTTGCTCGCCCATCTTGCTCCGGGATCGACTGGACCTTTGAAGCCTGTATAAAAGTGTGTGCAATTTGCGCTCCCAAAGATTGAGCAGATCTTTCAGGATTGATATGATAGAATACCCCTTCAGCTTGTACACCGTATGTTAGAATATGTTACCTGGTCTATAGATATGTGGATCATTGGGCATCCATTGACACTGGGTAGCTGCTCTCTTTTTCAGCGGCTTTTCAAGGGGCCAAGCTCCGGATCTTGCCCAGTCCGAAGGGCCCGGGGGCCCCTGGCACGATCCGAAGGGCCAGGGTCCGCGGAAGTGGAGCTGGTGAAGCGACCCCAGTGACCCCAGCAGATCCTCTGAGAGTCTCGTCGTTGGCTCATGTTTGACCCAAGAGTGGGTCACTCCTTCCTTTTGAGTGGTGGGTGATCACTTCTCCCAGTTTGCGGTCCAAAAGAGTCATCGAGAGAAACCTTGAAGCAATGAGGTGGTTGTTGCAGAGCTTTGGATCTCCCAGTTGCTTGAGCTGACCTGAGAGGTCATTCCATCCATTCCTATCCCACGTGGCGCGTGCCATCCTTCCAAACTTTAGGGGATAGGATATTATAAGTAGGATTTTCGCTGGTGTTGCTTGGGCAGGTTGGGTGCATCCTTTTTTCTTCTCGAAGAAAATCAATCACAGCCGTCTAAGACAATACCACATATATCCACATAACATGATCTGCAGATGATGCCCTGCTTGTGGGTTCAATTCTTGGACTTGGGAAGGACGGCACTCCATATCACTCCATGCCCCTCCCAGGCCGGCCGGAGGCTGAAGTGCCCAACCGCTCGGTGAGCCCGCGCAGCCGGAAAGGAGGCCGCACCACCGTCGCGCCGAGCCTCAGTGGAACGGGTTTGAGGAACGAACGGCGGCAGGTGTACCTACATGGAATTGGTTTGAGGGTCCAAGTAGGCAAGTATTCCATAGAGTCTGAGTCTATGGGGATGGTTTGAGACGTGCCGGATTGAATTAGCCAGTAAGTCGGTTGTTTTCGGCGTTCCTGAAGCTCTCCAGCTGCACACTTTGGGGCCTCCAGATGTTGTAACCAGACGCGGCCGTGCCGTTGAGGCCAGCACTGCAAGCACCAAGCAGGTTAGGTATAATTATATAGAACGCTTCAGCAAACTGGTACGCCACTCTCACATCGTTGTGTTGTTCAAACCGTTCAACGGCGGTTGACGCCCCACAGGACGCCCCACAGTGCAGCGGATGCAATCGCCAAGGTCCGATGCGCCGATGGTGTCACAGTTCTGAGTGGTTTGGATATGGAACGCACACAATTCAGCACTGGTTCATTTTAAAAGGGGACCTCCTCGTACTTGTCACTGTACTTGGTTCCTAACATAGCAACAACCGACCAGGTGGGTACAGGCGAGAAGCGTTATTTTCCTGCAAAGTGGTGGAACAACATTCCAAATGATTGCAGTTTCGTTATTTGTTGAAAGCCCGCTGGATGCTCTGGGTAAGGAAGAGAGGCCCAGAGAGAGAAGATGTGCTTTCTACAGATGTGATGTCTTAAACGGGAAGGGGGGGTCATGTTCGCCCAGTGCAGACACTGCGGTGTTTGCCGAGGCCAGAACTGCCAACGATGGGGGGTCACCTATATATCAACCACGATCTATCATTGAGGGATGACTCGATGACGTCAAAACAACATCGATAGTTTGGACATCATACAACATTAACCATTACCATCCATTACCTGCCATTATTGCTATTGCATGTTATTTCCATGACCTGGTAGCAACATGATATACCTCCTCCCATCCGAAGGACTGTTTTTGTCAAGTTGCTAGTCAGATGGGGTTGATCCTGGCTGTTCGTCACGTCCAGGTCGGCCCTGCGGCGTAGCGCCAGCAGCAGTGGCTACTCCGGCGTGCCATCCAGCTACTCTGCGAGCGTCCCGGCCGGGGGCCTCCTGTGGTCGAGTCATGGGAAGTGATGACCTGATCTACTACGCCTACGCCCGATCAGCAGAGGCAAGTCCTCCCTGGCTCCCTTCGGCCAAAGGATCATCAATGTCATCAAGTGAGGGATTTGTCCAACAACTCCCGTGAACCCATTCGAGGCCGGCGATCCACGCACAAGTGAACCAAAAGGGGCGAAACACGCCATCGACATATGCAGCAGAATGTTGAACCATCCAATTGCGATTAACCTGTTTTAACTGTTTAACATAATAAGTCAATTCAATTAAACAAATCACATCGATTCTGTCTCAGTTACGTAACTACTCAACAGAACAGACCTACCAAGCTCACTTCGCATGTCTCAGCTGAATCGCGACATGTCCTCAGTTCATGTCGGACACGAAGCGGAGGCTCTTTGAGACCACTCCGAGGTCATGGAACCTCCGGACAGCATGGGACACATGCATGTGCCAAGGTTGGGTGTGTCCCGTGTAGAGCCGTGGGTCAACAAGAAAACATCTAGAGAATGGCCTGCAAATGAAGCATCATCCACTGAGTCACTGTTACTGGTAATAGGAAAGACCATGAGCCGGATCCCCGTTTCAGCCATCTAAAGACCCGTGTGCTCGAAGATCCCCTGCCCATGTGTGGATCTCTTATGCTGAGGCCTCCCAGCCTCAGCGGTGACCTGAGTCTGAGTGGAGCTGTTACGGGAGGATGAATGCTGCAGCGACCTGTAGATGCACACAATGATGTACAACTGATGATGTAGTCGATGTGGCCAAGTAGCGGTGAGATCAACCACGGTATTTTGTTGGGGGGGGTGATATCGTGGCTTGGGCTGGTGCAAAGAAGATCTTGACAGAAGAGTTGAAGTGCTCATGGCGGTCTATTACAAGAAGGTCGTGACATACAGCACTTGCTGTGAATAGTGGCAGTGACCCAGTCCTACCAGCAATCGTGAATGCATGTGATATGGAGAGTATGGAAGCAGTTTCAATCATTGGCTGCCCCACCCTAACTCAGGGGAACTACAGCGCTCTTGAGGCAAAGCTGGAAACCGTTTCAAGTGTCTTTTTGCATGCACCTCTTCTCCTCCACATGCGCCCGCTCGTCACCGAGGGACACCAGTCAAAGCGTCACCGCTGGAGCCTGATCGAAAGCGGTTTCGCTCGAGGAGCGGTTTGCTGATGCCTAGCTTCGCATGGTTGGATGCCAAATCCATGATATCACCGTCTCATGCCGTTTCATAAATTGGAGGTTTTATGAGGTGTTCCAATTCTACGGAGAAATCCGGAGAATTGGTGCTTACATAGATTCTACATGATTCATCATGATTCTATTAATATTGTAAATGGTGTTGAAGATGATGCACTCAACTAAAAAACAATTCGAGCACGGATCCCATGACTGCCTCAACCTTCTGGTGAATACTTGTGTTTTGTCTAGGTTCCTTAAGCAAATCCCTTGAACCAAGATACAAGTATAGGCATAGTAAAGACCTCATGGACATGAGCCATGTCCGATGGCCATCCACGTTCGGACCATCGAACGCACCGATGGGTCCGAGCGGTCGGTCCGTCGACCGGTCGACCGAGGCCCCGGCGAGCGTGCTAGTCACGGCCTGAGAGGGACAGAGACAGAGACAACAAGGTGAAACCTGCTACCAAGTTGTTAAGACCCTCTCACAGTTAACCACCTATAGTCACCTTAAGTTGTTAAAGGTGAAACCAAGTTAAAGGTGAAACCAAGGTGACCCAAGGTCTTTGTCTCTCACCTTGTTAAGACCCAAGACACCAGGTTTGACGGGTGTAAACCTGCTAGTCCCGACCCAAGGGTTTCAACCCGACCCAAGGGCTTTAGCAGGCGTTTTTTGAACGCCCGACTTGCTCAGGTTTGGGCCAGAAAAGCACCTGTTTGATTTTGTAAGCTCTTCCATCAACCATATCACCCGCGGATGGGGATTCCGACCTCGCCAGCTGGGAGAACCACCAGGCCGCGGGCTGTTGATACAACAGTGAGGGTTGGTTGGAGCAATGGGGTGTCTCTATTGAATAATTTCCAGCCAACTATTTCAATTCAGGTTCCACGTTCAGCAGATCTCAAGATATGTCAAGATCCTCCGTGATTTTCCACTCCCTGACAATCCTTTGGCCATGGCCGGGTTTGGACTCTCGCAGTGCCAGACGCCGAAGAGGGGTCTGGCATGCCTGAGGTCTCAAACCCCTATAGGTTTTGAGAGACCAAGGGCTGTTTGGAGTTTTTGGCAGTATGAGAGACAGAAACAAACCACCTTGGCTTGTAGGTCTCCAAACCACCTTCCAGGTCTCACCTTCCAAGCGTATTTCGAGACCGGGCGCACCGGGCCCTGAGCCCTGCAGCGCCCAGCTGTCCTGCTGCAGTGCAAAGCACACCTTGGGCAACGGTACACGGGAAGAATCGCTTAAATCATGCTTTATATAAACCCAGTGGGCCAGTGAGGCAATACAAGAGCGGATCAAGATTCCGGTGGTTGATCAAAAGCTCCATCAAACAGGGCAGCCTCCTAGCAGGATTTAATTAGACCCTTGGTATTCTCGACGCCCCAAGGACTACATATCCAGTGGAAAATGCTCGGCACAGTGCAGCCATGCGTTGGACACCCTTTCGCGCACCCTTTAGGAGCGGAGCGCGCAACCTTTCGTCCGCGAGGAGCGCGAGCTGGGGGCGATTCAGCGCAAGGCAGCCGAGAGGGAGGACCCACCAGCACGGGCCGGCGGGGGCGAGCGTCGGGGCGAGCGTGGGGGAGGGTGGCGAGGCCATGACTTCCGTGGGAGACCGAGGTGGACATTGAGAAGGCCCGTGGTCGAACAGTACTGTAGGAGCAACATGGTGCAACTAATTGATTCAGGATTTTTCAATTGAAGGACAACGCCGGACAGACTGAACGTCCTAGACTCACATGTTTTTTTTAATTCTTGGATGAGAAGAACTCTGCAAAAAAAGCTCTCAGGGTTCGCTGGAATATATCTCCAGTCAGTTTGGGCGAACAAGACTTCTCATGCATTCAAATTCATCAAGCCAGTTCCAAAGCAACAGAGTGACATTTCAACAGGCAAGTAAGAGAGAGAGAGAGAGCGAGCATTTGAGAGAGGGATGTTCGTAGCCACCAGCGACTCCGACATGCCTGACTCGGCCCCGGCCGGGCCCCGGACGCCTTTGCTTGGCCGCTTGGGCTCAATGAGTTCATTTGGCCGAAAACAAAGCACAGAAGCGCCAGGAGCTGTGCTTTAGCATGTGGCCCAGTCAAACAGGACCAGAGAATGAGATGGATAGGTTAAACTATGAAGAGATATGGAGAGATGAATCTGAGCAGCGATGAATCATTAGCGCAAAGACGTGGTAGCTGTATGTATTCACTATTTTTCACTGCAGGAGGATTTTTAGTTTAGTCCCACCACGGGGTGTGCATCAACGAATTTAGTCCCAGAGATTCCCGGAATTCGCCATGAGCGTACGATGATTCGCCATGAGCGTACGATGGGCTATGTCAGTGACAGGTGCTTCGAGCATGTTGAGGATTATATCCACTGGATGTCCCAGCCAAGCCGCGTGGTCTACGTGGAATGGCGGAAAGTGCGGCATGAGAGCCTTGCATGGCGCGCATCCGTCCGTTCTTGATGTTCCAGACCATGTTGCGCTCCCCCCCAGAGCCACACCTACCGACCAGGATCTGGGGGACACTCCGGCTAGGGCCGAACCGCTAGTGGGGAAAAACAACAAGCAGTTGATGAATCGTCCGCAAGTGGGCAGGCTGGGAACCGCCAGTGTACACTTGTAAGGGGCATGTAATGGCTGTGTGCAATGGGTAAAACAACCGGGGGGGGCCGACCGCTTGAGGTCGAGAATGAACCGGTCGGTGAGTTCCAGGTCAACCTACCCAGTTCCGGGTCTCCCCCCCTGCCACCCAGCAGTTCTGTCACACCAGGAGTCGAACAGTTCTGTCCACACCAGCGCACTCAGCACGAAGAGTTGCTTGCGGAACCGCCAGGGCGTTCGTTTTTCGCCTCCGAGGTCGGCAGGTCTGTCTCTACGAAAAACGCGCGTGAGAGACAGAACTGGGTATCTGGAGCATTTGAATATACGTCTTAAGAGGTAGATGGAGGAGGGCACAGCCATCACAAGAGGCTCTTCACTTTCAAAACAGTGCACTCGACTTGTCTCTTTGAGGAAGAGTCGTGGATTGACCTCGCATTCTTGGCTGGAAGTCCGCTTGTTGGATGACCGCCGCTTGCGGATGGAGATCTACGCAGACAGAGGCTACACCGAGTGACTGAGGCTGAGGAAGCGGAATGGGGTTGGGGTAGAGCTGGGTGGGAGATGTGAATACTTGATGGTGGTTTAGGGCTAAGATGGGCTAAGTGCATGAGTTGAAGAGGTCATGAAGAGAGTTGGGTGGAATCATGAAGAGATTTGTCCTCATCAAGTTTCGGTACATGGTCCATCATAATTGATCCAATTCAATGCGAGTCCCATTTAATCCACCATTGCCGTGGAGGATTTTCACCACATATCGCACATATTGGTTGGGCTCAGCATCATATCATCCACATTCATCCACCATCACCTGGCATATGAGTTCACTGCCACATCTCTCATAACATGGTGAAATGGTTTGGAACCTAACCCTCATTCAATCAGCCGTGGTAATGGGCACATGCCGTGACATGCCCATTCCACATCCTCAGCCCAGGCAATGCTTCGACCCCCGAGCCGTCAGCGCGCCCGGTGCGGGCACCGCGGGGCTACGCTTCTTCGACCCAGACAGCACCATCTACGACGGCCGCTGCGCGGGCGAGACGGAGCTGCGGCGGGCGCTCACGGCGGAGACGCTGCGGGAGGCGGGACGCTGCGGGCGGGTGAGATGGGCGGGTTGAAAAGACAAGGGGAGGGGGTAAAGATGGGGCAAACTGAAGGGAACAGGTGCGGTGAATGCGTGGCTTCCTCGGCATGGGTTTTGTGCTGCTCTTGGACAAAAGTTCGAGGGTTCCAACTTGTTTCATCAGGGTCGCCAAGGCTATGGCTATGATTAGAATGGCTAGGCCAGAAAGAGCACTGACGGTGACAGTCCCTGAATTCTTGTTAGTCACTGACAGTGACAGTCCCTGAGTAGAGTACTTCAGCAGTTAAGTTAGTCAATGTTTGTCAGTCCTGGTGCGTACCCATGTCATACCGCTATCAGTTGTTCTTTGGGAGCTGGCGAATTGTTTGGTCGGACATTTGTTGTTTGGTCCATGTTGATCCCAATCCTCAACCATACTCTGAAGGAAGCGAAGAGCTTGGCGCGGAGGCCATACTCATTGAGTGAGTTCAATTGCAACCCGGATGCAGTAAACCTTCCTGGGAACTCTTGGCATGAATGCCAAGATATGCCAAGTGTGTCTTGTACAACATGGTGTGCCGCCACTCCATCATGCGTTGTCCAAACTGTGTGCCAACGGTCCTCAGTGAGCTAAATGTTTGGAAGCCTCATTTAACAAGGACCGAGAACATCGTGACAATTGGCTGGCCAAGTTGCTGGTCCATTCCTCAGTGGCATTCCCCACTTCCACATTGATTTTGGAATATGTTGGACAGATCGTAGGCCATGACCCGTCTTGGAAATAGGCCGCGCGGCAGGCCACGCAAAGCGCAGCTTTTGAATCATGTTGACCAGCTTTATCCACCTTTATATATGCCCAAGGCCCTGAACTGGCATCGTTGTACGGGTGCGACTTACAGCATCAAAAAAACAGTGAATTCTTGGAGATCCCAACTAATGTAGACTCTTGATATCTAGGCCCCCCCATAGGAAGAGGCTTTTCGGTTTGATTGGGATGGGGCTATTGATCAAGAGTCTGCATTGAAAGATTTTGGAGCTGTCCCAGGTCATCACTTCGTGCTGGAGCTTTGGAACAGCATGGTGGTGGACTCCTTGCAATCCAAACACTTCCCAGATCGAACCAAGCACCTCGGTCTTTGACCTGGAGGAAGACGAGGGTGTCTAAAAATAAATGGGACGCTTCCCACTCCTTCCGTTCGGATGGTGTGGTGAAATGCAAATATTTCTTTAATAGGGCGGCGGCAAAGTATGTTGAACTCGTTGGTCAGCAGCAGCTCTCAATACGAAAATGAGAAATTCATAGACTTTCCGTAAGCATGCACAATTGATCTAATCAATCGATCCTCCAGATGCTCCAGGAGTTAGTTGGGTGTTTTTGAAATAGAGCTGCCGCTGAAGAAACCGACTGGCGGACTCAGGCTGGGCTTGCTGTGGGGCGTGGAGGAGATGATGGGCCACTGGCTTCAAGGCCCCCTTCGTGGCGTCCAGTAGAGCGGCCTTCGGTTCGGGGCAGTCAGTGTCCGGGTTCAGTTCTTGGGACCGGCGAGGCCAGAAGTTGTGCTCCTAGTAGTGAGGCCAGGAGCCCTCCTACCCGGTCCTACCCTAGGAACCTCTAATCAGTGAATCAGGTGAGGAGTTCACCTTTGAAGACTTCATCACCTCTGACTCTTTTTGGGTTCAGGCTTTCGCAGTGTGACATGCTTATCATGCTTGTAGGTGGCCATTCCTGGGGATCGCCACCGTTGGGTCCCTTGTTGCGGCCGTCACGGAGGCCGTCACGGAGATTGAACATGTGGAGAGTTTCTAGAGGGAATTGTCAACCAACTGACCACTAGAATAAGGATGCAGATGGCACAGACCTTGAGTTCTATGCCATTTATGCCCCTCCCCAGCCAATGATATAGACGCGGTCGTTGGTGCGCTTGGCGAGGCGCTTCCTCCTTAGCTTCTGTGGGCGCCCCGACTTCGGGCGCTGCACAGAGGGCGCCACCCACCATACCTGTGCGGGCGGATGTATTTTTGCTGGAGACCACTGGGCAGATGAGGTTGGCCGAGATGCCACAGTCGATCGAGACAGCAGGTGGCTGGGGCAAAGGTTAAGAGGAACTTTGGTTGGGAACATGTTTTTTAGATTTTGGGTTTTGTAGGTCACTCGTTCTAGATTCTATAGACTTCACATGATTGAATTATATAATTCATTATTTGTTTTACTATGTTTTGCTCAGTAACCCAGGTCTCATCACATGAATTTAATCACAGGTCCATTGGAAGGTTGGGCCGCCAATCCTAAAAGATCATTTTGGAGCCAGCACTGTAGGGCTCAAAGCAAAAGTCTTGAGGGGTATCGGCTCGGCGGTATCAGTGTCGGTACATGGCAGTGGGATATAGGGAGCAATTGGCTTTGCAATGAAGCTCAAAGCCCATAGAGGTCTCTAAATAGATCAATGCCAATGGGAGGACTGTTACATGTCATCACAAACTATTTACACACGATCATATGGTATCATTGTATCTTTGTTGTCGCTATGTGTCACTCGACATGTTTAGGCAACAGTCCCACTGCCTGCTGGGCCGCCCGGCAGCTGCCGGGCGTGGAGGAAGCAGCGATGCGGGTGGTGGAGCTGATACGGACCTTTGACATCTTGGAGCTGAACAAGCGACTCGAGTTGGAACCTTGGACCATCTTGGACTACTGCTTTGGCTTGGATTCTTCTGATTTATATTAGGAAGCTCCCGTTTTGAGATGTTGCTTTTTCAGAGTGCCCAGTGCGCACCCCAAAAAGAAGATCGAACAAGGTTATAAAGTGCTCGTTCCCCTCAAAGTCTTCTGGGAACGTACTGGACACCCTTGGTGCCCGGCCTCCTCAACAGCCTCATTTTACAGTCACCTGTCGCCACTGCTTTGGCTTTGGGAAAGAAGACGGATCATTGGAAATCTGTTCCTTTTCATTTTTCTTTGGTTTTACATGTTTTAAATAGCAGTGGCCTCCACCCTAATACTTGTAGCGATGTTACTGGATCTAGAGGGGAAAATTCATGATCTTCCCAACCAGGATGTATGTTGCTTTTGTTCGGATTCCCCAAATCTGATATGCCCATCGCAGAACTATTATCTCAAATCCGGAAGGACATCCCAAAGACGGCTTTTGGTGGATCCAGGACTTGCCTAAGACCACCTTCAGCGTCTTCGCCTCCTTCGCCTCCACCTCGTCCTCATCGGTGGGAACCTCGTGGGAGCACTGCTTCGTTCTTCTGCGCGGCAGGGAGCTCCGCTTGGCCGTGCACAGCGTGGGACTGGGGCGCCAATTCCTGCTTCTGAGTGGCGATGCCTTGCGCAACCAGGACGCGCGTTCGGGATGAGGGGTGACGGACATCGGCAGAGCACGGCAGCGCTGAGACGGTTGGTGATTCATCAACCCCCCAGTTTTTCCATGCTAGTCCTACATGAATGGAACAAGTGGGGTGTTGAAGTGGTTTCAAGGTGCCTGGGTTTGGACGCAAGTGTGTTCGGGATTGAACTTGACGTCAGGCTTGTGGGTTGTGTGCAACATGTCTGCCTCAGTACTGAAGTTGTGAGATCAAAGCTCAAAATATGGTTTAAAAAGTATATTTTTTTCGATTTGGGCCTGTGAATGCCAAGGGCTCAGTTGATTTGAAGTTGGAATATAGCTTTTGGGTAAAGACCCACGAGCAATACTATTCCATATAATGCGTATTAATATGATCTCAGTCAGATATGACGGGAAGTGTCATTCCTATTCCTATTCCATACCCACCGACGGGCCAACTGACCCTTGTTGAAGAGAACCTTCGCCAGGAAGAGCACTGGCAGTGGCGAAGGGAAGAGCACAGGTTGTCTCCAACAGAGAGAGCCTTTCAGTCTCTTGCTGCAGCATTGATGAGGGGAATCTTTTCCTTTTTTCGCTGTTTGTATAAACATGAAGGGGGACGAGGGCTGTTGGAACAAAGAACTTCTTTTGTAACCCCTTTTTGGTTGGTGCGGATTTAGGCAGACAGAGAAGGCTCTCCTTGGTGTCCGGTGCTTTTGGCCTAACCGGAGCGGTATACGGGTGTTCGAGGGTATGAATCAGAGACTAACATCCTGTTTTTTTCACAGTTTTTCCTTCTTTATGCACCACCAAAATCCACAGAATGCCTCTTCCAAAGTTGCAAAAGCTATAGAGACCACCCACCGCCAGATCTTTAATCCGACCTCTCAATCGAAAGGCCTGTTTGGGTGGGCGAGCACCACCAAGTTAACCAGAACCCCCTATCAATGTAACCCAGTTCAATGGTTTCTCATGGGTTTCTTCTGAACCTCCATCCGTCCAATTGTTTGTTACATATGACTCATATGATACTGGTATGTTTTTCATTGCTTTTCTATGTTTTTTCTCAGAGGCTCTCAACACACACCGTTCACGCAGGGTGTTGTCCTACCAGCCGAAAGCCTTGTGACCCTCTCACCATTTATCCTCCATGGCGCACGTTGCCCAGGCTCCAGGAGCCCTTCCGCCAAGCGCTTCGCCGCAGCGCATGGCACGCACTGCCCACGGCCGAAAGCGATTTCAAGGACCTGTCATAGGCGAGGAAGAAAAACATGTGATCAGTTTGATCCGTGGATAGATAGATTGATGGATGGATAGATAGATTGATTTGAACGATCAAAGCGTTTGTTTCTCTTCACTTATGAGTCTTATGAGTCTTAAAGCTCATGTATTACAATTGTTGTCTTTTACAACAGATGCAGCTGCAGACCTGCAGGTTTTCATGAACAGGGAATCTTCGGGGAGACTTACTGCTTCGAGCGTACCTCAAGAAGAGCTGTTTTGAATCACCTGGAATCACCTGCGTCACCTGTGGTAATCTCAGGAATCACCTGAATTTGATTTCCTGCCAGGTTTCCACCTGAACACAGCAGTTTTCGCGCTTATGGCGGTTCTCGCCACTTCGCCGGGAAGCGGCGGTTCAGGGGCGACCGTCCGAGAGCTGCATCGTGCCAAAATGTGCCTGCATTCGTGCGGAGTGGAGAAGTCGCTGGGATTCTCCTGGTCGAGCGGCCATGATTTGTTGTTGCTTGAGATGGTCAATACCCCAAGAATTTGGATCATTCTTTTGACGCGCACGCATGCGAAGGTATCGAAACCCACCCAAGCAGTGGGGCACGATGAGTGGTAGTGGTGGCGTGGTGGCAGTAGCAGTAGCAGTAGGAGCAGGAGCAGGAGCAGGAGTAGTAGCAGTAGTAGTAGTTGTTGTTTTTGTTGGTGTCGTTGTTGTTGTTGTGGTTGTTGTTGTCGTTGTTGTTGTATTGCTATTATTACTATTTTGTTTTAGTAGTAGTAGAAGTCGTAGCGTAGTCGTAGTCGTAGTCGTAGTAGTCGTCGTGGTAGTATACGTATATAGTCGTAGTTGTAGTCGTAGTCGTAGTAGTAGTAGTAGTAGTCGTAGTAGTCGTAGTAGTAGTAGTAGTAGGAGTAGGAGTAGGAGCACTAGTAGCAGCAGCAGAGGCAGCGGCAGTGGTCCTGGTAGTTTGTTGTATTTGCTGCTGTAGTTGCAGTTGCACTAGTTGTAGTGTGGCAGCAGCAGCAGCAGCAGCAGTAGTAGTAGCAGTAGTAGCAGTAGTAGTAGTAGTAGTAGTAGTAATTGTTGTTGTTGCTGCTCATATTTTTGCTCATGTTCTTGTTTCACGTGGGCCTGCGTTTAGTAGTGTATATAGTCATTGTTGGGACTCGGAAATGCTGCAAAGGATCAGAACATGAATGGGGGGCGGTGTGCCGGTGGGGGAGACCAATGGAGCAAAATGGTCTATCAAACCGACCCTGAAGAGTTTTAGGAACTTGCCAAGAGCGCTTTCGACTTGCCAAGTTTGTTCCAGAAGGCCTCATCGATGAAACGACGGATGTGCTTATATGCAGTGCCTTCACCTGAAATGCATGGTGCAAAAGCAGGCGTGGCTGGTGCAAAAGCCAAAAGAAATTTGAGACTGCTCTTGGTAATCAAGATTGGGGACAGTCCAACGCCTAACACAGAAGACAGTTTCCTAACCAAGTTCCAGAGCAGATCCGGATCTCCAGGAGGCCAAATCCACATGGAGGGGACTTGGAGGCCACATCACCCGAGATTAATCGCGCCAGGACCTCCGATCGGAGAACGCCCGCTTGCAGCAACAACTGTCCAAGGCAACAAAAGATGCATCGGGCGGGCTGTATACCTGTGAAGAGAGTAGGGAAGTGAGTTATGCAATCCGACCGTTTGTCAAACATGTAGTATGTGCTTCGCGCTTTTGAGGGGATGTATTTGTTCGAGTGCAAAAGGGGCATCAAGGTTCTGTTTGGGCACGGAATTGATGCATTGCTGTATATTACTAAGTAAACCGACCACACTGTTTCGCAGCTTTGGTCGGATCAGGGGGGCGGCAGAGGGGAACCCCAATCTCTACCAGGAACCAAACTGAACCCTGTTTTGATAGGAAAAGGCCATATGTTGGGTGGTTGGTGGTCCAAAATAGAGGTCATTCAGGTTCTAGGTGTATATATATATACTGTATATATACTATACCAGGACCCTCCTGGCCAGGCTGTTTGGAGGCCCTCAAAAAAGGTGGTTTCTGGACACCGGTTGTCACCAGGAAACACATGTTGGATATTGGCCTGAAACATTCAGAACCCTATGACGTCTCCATTTCACCCTTTGACCGTTCCCCTGTCCAGTCTGGGTCTCCTACCCTTCAGGCACGCAATGCCATCACACAGCTGAAGAAGCAGTTGGACGATGCGACTGTGGGGAACTTGGATGCTGGGGTGGTGGCTCCTTTGGATGTGCAACCCCCGGAGAGCAGAGGTTTGCATGATATTGCGTATGGTGACTGGCTGAATGTAGGCCTCTTCGAACCACTCCTCATCTCAGTGACCCTCGTCATCCTCAACCTCGCGGACCTTGCCTTTCTTGCCTTCCCTCGCTTTGGATCGTTTTGGCGCCCAATTGACCTAGGGAGGGGGGTGCATGGCTGGGTGAGAAAAGTGATGAAGAGTGTAATGCTTCTTTGGGGGCGACCAGGGGAAGTTGGTTGAATTCTGTTGACTTTGAATGACTTTGACTGGCTTAACCTTTGATGCCTGTATGGGAGTCCGATTTCTGCCCAAATCTTCGTGATTGAAACCGTTCCTGGTTCATTCGACTCAAAGCCTGGGCTGGGTTCGACTCCCTTTAACTCATGGGGACGTTGCGTCGACTCCTGGGGCGTGCATGGCCGGTTCGCGGTTCTCGCGTTGTTCAGGCGGCACGAGACAGAGAGAGGCGGGGAGTCGCGTGAGGCCGGCGAGGCCGTGTGAGCACAGGAGGCGCACCTTCAGGACGTAGATGTCAAGGTGCGTTTCAAGACGTTAGTGTTAAATATGTTTGGTTCCCGAAAGCTAGGAGTAAGCTAGGGCTAGCTACCAGCGGCTGGATCGGGCACTTTGTTCAGCATGGCACATGAAAACAGGATATCACCATATATATATATATACATATATATATATATCACCCCTTCACTACCCAACCCCGTTTCGATCCTTATACAGTGTTGCTTTGAGGGAGGTATATACTTTATAACTTTCTAACTATTCTTCAACACTCTACGGCATGGCGAAGACCAAGCGCTTGAATCCCAATATAATGGCCGGCCATTTGGGTCGGATATGCTGGACTTCTGACTCTCAACGCACGAGGAATTTCAGCGTTTGAGCTCTGAACTGGCCTGCCTTTGAGCCATACAAGTTCAATCTTGTACTCTTTAAGTAAAGAACGCGAAGCATCATGTGGGCCTTCTTTCACCTGAAACGTCCAGCATCCAGGCTTCGAGCGGAAAGTGGGGGTGCCAATCTCCCCAGGTGGAGGGACCTAAGTTGGTTTCGATCCTCTTAATCTTCTTGGATTTGAATGGTGTGTTGCTCTCACGACTTTTCAACTATGTAGTTCCAGTTCAGGAGCAAAAAATACGTTCTAGATTCTAGAGGCACAGAAATCGACAACCCTGGTTGCGCCAATGGAATAGGGGATGTATGATACATGCGTTGGTGGCTGCTTGCCTGGGAGGAAGATGATGGCATGGCCAGGTTTGCAAGAAGATGTAAGAAGCATTTGTCATATGGAGAAGAAGGGGCCATTGAAATCCAAACATGCAATTTTTGCAGCGTTTGAGCAGTGTCAACTCATAAACTCCCATAGAACATCACAGAACCCAGCCCATCCCCTGTCTGTCGACCGACAGGGCCAACGCCTCGCCGGCACAGACCGTGCCCGAGGCCTTCAAAACGTGGCTCGAGAGCTACAGCGGCGCCTCGAAGAGGAGTGCGCCAAGGCTGGTCCGATGGAACCGATGGGATCGAAGTGTGTCAAGCCGATGTCTATAGTAACAAGTGCATCGCTAGTAACAAGTGCCTTACTAGTAGAAACAAGAAGCTAGTAGAAACAACAAGCTAATAGCTTCTTGTTCTTAGTAAGGCCAGGAGCCCCGTTCGTAGCGTCCGATCGCTCCTAGTAGCAAGGCCAGGAGCCCCTAGGCCCAGACACTCCATCAGATTCTTTTAAACATACTGTAGACCTCCCATGATTTACCTAGATAGGGGTGGTTGAAATGGGGTCAATGTAGGGAAACCTGCAGCCTCAATGTAGGCATATAAGATCATATAAGTTATAACATATAACTATGACTATGACATTCCATACACGGCTGATGGTCTGGGTTTTCTTGTGTTGCTGACATTTGCCAGTGCTTGTTTTACCTGTTGTGGTGGTGGTTGCACTCTCCTTGGGAAGAAAATTGCACTCTCCATAGCTGCTATGGATAGGGTGGTGATTCTTGAGAAGGGCACCCAGAAAAGGTATGCGCAAACCTTTCGGCACCTTTCAACTCTAAAAGAGCAGGTTTGCTATTCCTTCAGCCGACAGGGGTGATCCACTCCCCCTCTCTCTCCAGACTCCTTGGCGTCGCTACTGCGGGTGGTCGCGACGACTTCGACCGAAGCCAGGCCAATGTCCTGCAGAAAACCATTTCAAACGCAATTAGTTTGCCACTCAGTTGGGCCAGGTTGCAGCAATCAGGTCACTGGAGTTCATTTGGAACAAGCTGTAGTTGAGTTGCATTGACATGAACTTCCATATATACTTGATTCTTTGCACCCACAGCTGCCGTTGTCATCTAGGCCCTTGTAGCCACCCTTGTTTGATCGTTTTGGATGGTTTTCACCGTTCGGTCAGGCTGGTTCCCGACTGAGGTCAAAATGCATCCAGCAACGGCTTCCAGGCACCGACGGCGTGGCCGCGTGGCTAAGACGAAAGCGGCGGTCGAAGATGATGGCCGATGGCCCCTCAGAGGGGTAGCTTCTGGCATTTGGGGGGACACAACGGAACACATACACGCACGTAGACAAGCAGCTTTCCGCACCCGAGACCATGGTTCTGGTTCTACCAGCCGCTCAATCCGGCCTGGCTTAGGCCAAAGGTCCAAGTCTGCAAGCGTTTTGCAGATCGAGACTTAGACCAGAGGCCAACATGTCTACCCAGCTGAGTTGTACAAAGGTGGCGCATTCCGCGTAGCCTTGAAATGATTGAATCCGAATCCGACAACTGCTGCATTCCTCCACATCCTTGTTGTCCCTACTTGTCGGATTCAGAATCATACAAAACATATACTGTTTCCATACAGAATAGGGGCCGGGAAGGGGCAGGCCCTGTCAAGATCGTCCATGAACGAGTATACCAAAAACATCCCCAAAACAGTGGCAGTTCACAGGCTCGAGGAAGTGATCTGAGAGATCCTGACCGCTTTTATAGGTTAGGGCCTAACCAAGTATAGGGGATTGAGAGTAAATGGCCCAGACCCCAAGAGGTGGTTTATATGAACTGAACCTCCATCTAAAAAAATACATGTTGGGGGTTGTGCCATCTACTCTGAAACTATTTTAAAGGCTACATATATAAGTTCTCACATATTTCTTAATATAGATCATTTCTTGCAAGGCTGTTCCAACGTCTCGCGATGTCCAAGTCGCCATGGAGCGCGAGTGCGAGGGCGAGGAGTGGGAGAAGAGTGAGGCTGGAGTGGAGATGTGGGGAGGAGCCTCAGAAAGACGCTGAAGTGCATAATAAACATGTGAGATAAGGCAGCTACACTTTGACACACCTAAACTCATGGACCTGATAGTTCCCTACCTTTGAGGAAACGGTCGAAGTCTTCTGAGGTGGCAAAATTGCCAAGTGAGTCAGAGCGCAGTTGTTTCTCTACATTCGGCAGGCTACTGTTTGCACGAAGGTTGGGAGGATGAGCAGAGATTTTTTGAACTTGGCCTTCCCTCCCATACCTGGCGCGTATCAGAATGGAAGACCTCCCAACCACTGGTTCTTTTTACGGTTCTTTGTCTATAGTCCTTCTTCCCGGGGGTTCTTTTTGGGGGTCTCCGTATTCCAATACACATCTATGTGACGAGAAGGGTGACGAGAGCGACGCCAGGTGGAGGAGCAAGCCGTCCAGAGGGCCATTGCCTTTGCCATGCGTGATCCCGATCTCTCGCGCCTTGGCCATGCAGGACGGGGAGAGAGAGAGAGAGAGGTGAAGTTCCGATACCTTGCGGCGCATGATTCAGGAGCTTCATGTTTTTTTGTGGCCAGGTGGCTGCCAGGTGGGGCCTAATTTAGGGTGTTTTGATCAGATGCAGCACATGGAGTCGCTTGGGTGTTTTCAGGCTTTTGTCGCAGAGAAACCCTAAGGCCCTAAGGAAAAGTGCTTGTTCAATTTGTATGGAGTTGTCGTGCGGCAATCATTGTATCGGGAAGGTTGACAAGCCGACAAGCCTATTATATTCAACATTGTAGCACAAATCATGGAACATTCTGCACAAATATCAGACAAGCAGCGTTTTCTTTTAGACAGGGAATGATAGAGATACAGAGGCACGATAGATATAAGATTGAGCTTCAGTTTTTGTTTAGACAGAGATCAATCCATGAGTCACAACCAAGTCAACTGGAGGCAAGGGGACTACTACGACCTTTGCTCGCGCTTGCCGCTACACTACTGGGCCTATGAATGGGTCTCCCCTAAGCCCGGCGCACCTGGGCGAAGAAAGGAGCCATGCTTCGAAGGAGCCATGCTTCGCCGAGGAGCCCCCAACAGAAACGAATTGAAGATCCAGGACGCCACGATCCACGCATATCTACACACCTGTTCCAGTATGTTCCAATCAACACTACGTATATACTCGCCCATTGATAGGTTATGATAGATCATCCCCATTTGGCTGATGGCTTAGTAATCTTCAGTATTGCTCCAGCGGGCGCATCTTTTGCGGAGCTCAGCCACCAAGGAGCCTGGCCTGAATAGATCCATTCACAAGCTCAGCTGGCTCGACTGTGTGAGTGTTTCACCCCACCCTCAAATCAATCAACCATGATGTTCAAATCGATGCAGACTCAACTCCTGCATCTCATGGATCGAACGACTCGTCTCGTCTCGTCTCGTCTCCTCCCGCCTCGACCGACCACGGCTTCTCCGGTCGCCGAGCACCGAGCACCGAGCGCCTCAGGTCTTGGGGAACTGCTGTTTGGTGCCCAAGATCGGTGCCTCGGTGCGGCGACGTTGACACGACCCGGCAGATGGGACCAGTCCTCGGACCAGTCGCTGCGGTAGAGGGAATAGGCACTTGCTTTTTTTCAGTGCCATGGAGTGGTTGGATCATGATGTGGGGTCAAGAGTGAAGCACATGCACTGGAAAACCTATAGGGGTTTTCCATAACTTCCAGGAGTGGATCTTTGCAGAATAGATATTGCTGAACACGGCGCTTCATGTGCAGACTGGCTAAGTTAGAGGGAAATAAGGGGTTAATAGAGGCAAATGCATCTACATGACGTCATGCCATTATCTATTGACTATTTGTATCAATTTCTGGCGTTTGCATTGAACACACTGTGGCCAACGACTTTTCACATTTTTGAAGCACGTTTGCTCTAGGATTCTGTGTTTTTCGGACGGTTTTTTCTGTTGCGATGGTCGGACTCACTGTGTTTCCCTCGACGATTTCTATTGACATGGCCCAGGGGCCATGGGTTTACTCGGCCGCTGCCTCCACGAGCTCTTGGACGAAGCACCGAGCAGCTCGTCTGTGCTGAGCATTGGAAGCAGCTCGGCCGAGACATCCGCTGTGACCGCCGCGCGTGGCGGATGTCATCCGCGGCGGTTGGGGGGGGAAGCTGGGAACTCTGATTGACTTTGTTGTGACATTTCTTGTGAGAACACTCTGGGTTCATGACCCCAAGAATCACCAAAGAGTTGATTTTACATGAATCCTGTAATTACCTATCAAGCTCCAGCGCAGCTCCAGTGGAGCTGGCTTAAGCACTTAGCCGGTTCGCCGAGAATCGCAGGAGACCCCCACAAGGATGGCCATGTCCATGTGCCACACAAGTAGCTATTTGTATAGGTAGTATAGGTATTGCATGGAGAGAGATAGAGAGAGAGAGAGAAAGAGATAGAGAGAGAGAGAGAGAGTGAGTGAGAGAGAGAGAGAGAGGGGGAGAGAGAGAGAGAGGGGCGAGAGAGAGAGAGAGCTTTCAATAATTTGATGAACCTCCCAGATTCCACTGCTGCAAAATCCACAGACAAATGATTTGTTTTTTTTTTGAATGGCCTCATTCTGACCTGCACATTTCCTGACTTGTCAGGTGGAGCTGGATTGCTGGAATGGTTGCTGTGTCCTCGCTTCCAGGCCCCCCCCTCACGTGAGCAGTTTCACCGCCAAACACCCGGAAACCTGGTCGAGGGCTGTGGACCATCCGTTTCGATCGTGGCCCGAGAATAGTTGATAGTTTGACCACAAGATAGTTCGATAACTGATTCTGATGGTTTGACCACTACTTGTTCAGTTCTGATAGTAGGTTCTTTCATCACTATTCTTGACCGGTGTCACATGGTCACGATGTTCTACTAGTATAGTATTTTGACCACTAAAACAGCTTCTTTCATGTTCCTTCTCAAGTCGCAGAACGAACGCCGGCTCCGCTCCACGTCCGGTGCCGGGGGTCCGTCTTCCCCGATCGCCGGCCAGAGGTGAAGGTCGTCTCGTCGTCTCGTCAGGTGGTGTTTTGGGAAGACGGAGAAGGCACCAGATGTTTCGTGAACCCGAGAGGGAAAAAGAAACGCCGGTGTCGCAGGTGTCGATCTCGGCATCGAAAGCGCGATAGATTTGGTTCCCAATGATGTGACTCATCGGGCGACAACTCTCATGGCAGCCAGAGCGGCTAAGAAAGACTGGTGCTTGGCAAGGTTATAGCAAGGATATAGGATGGATAGGTATCTATCATGGGGGTCCCTCAATTCCTCATTCGCTAAACGAAGCGAAGCGACAAGTGAGCTCGGCACCCGGTCTTTAGAGCGGACCCTGCTGAGTCAGTGTGAGTCAGCTGAGCTCCAGGTGATTTGTGTGGACTACTTCTACGAGCTGTCGGATGGAGGCGTTTCAGCTGGGTGAGTTGTATGCGCCAAGTGCGAAATCGCATGGTCTCGCAGTTTGGCAGCTGGAGCCCGGGGAGAGGATGTATATAGGAATCATGTTTTTGTCCGACGAGTTTTGTCCATGGATATGGTTTTTGTTTTCTCTTCGGTGTGAGGTCTGAAGCTCTTGGTCACGGCGCCGGAGCGGCTCCGTGACGTCAATCCCATTCCACACCCCAACAACCGCGCGGGTTTACGCCACGCCCGGGCGCGCGGTGTTGGGCATCGTGGTTTCGTGAATCGGGGGAGAAAAAAACGCAACAACACCGCGGTTCGGCATGAGGTGAAGTTGATCCGTGGGTCCTTCCACAGCTGCACAGTCACATTCGTGAGGAGGCTGACGGCTCCTTGGCCTTTGTGCCTTGGCGAGGTTGGATTGGAGGTTGGTGGCGAAGCTGGGAGAGAGAACCTCAAGCAATTCACAGACCTGGGATCGCCTGCAAGGCCGCAAGGCATTCATAAAAAAGTAAAAAGCAAGCAAAAAGTAAAACAAGTGCCAGCACAAGAATGCCTGCATGCAGTTCAATGTTGATCACATGTCATGACCGTCGGAACACACCTCGGATGGGTTCAGCAACAAGGATGCGGATTTAGCACGTTACACTTGGTGAGAACGCAAATGACAGGTTAGTTTGATGCTGGCATAGCTGGCACCACTATAATTGCGCTTGTTGTATGACTATATGATAGGTATGATATGTTACCATAGAAATCATGTGCTATAGTTATGTAAGATGTTAAATGGTAACATGGTAACTACCAGGACCACGGAAAAGGGTGGTTTATGGACACCCCTGACTATGTATGTTCCATCAAATAACCACCCCTTCCGTGGTGCTGGTAGTATTACATAGTATATTATATATATTATATAACTTTAAATATTCGCTCATTCCCGGATGCTTGCAACCCTACTTTGCTGTGCAAGTTCATCCTTCTTGCAAGTCCCCTTCATAGCCATAGCCAACCCGTCTTCGTTGCTTTCATCGGTTCACCACCTCTCCTGTCTTCGACGAAGGCGAGCCCCGAGAAAGCCACTTGGCACAGTCGGAGGGGATGATCGGATGAGGGATGTGAATGCAGAGGAAGATCATCAGTATACTCCAAAAAGATCGGAAGATCAGGCACTCCTGAGCATTCTTGGGGCAGTTCACTGGTGGCATTTGGTGGCTATGGCATTATGGAATTATCATGAACATTGATTCATGCGATTCAGTGTGAGCAGGAAGCACACTTTCTTGGTATATAAGAACGTGGGAAGGGCAGATGAGCAATGAGCACGCAATTTAGCCAGCCTGGTAGTGGTTTTCAGCACAGTTTTCACCATGGAGCAGCCAAGATGAACCTTTGAAATTCACACGTCGGCTCCTTGCTCCACAACTGCTCAGCCCTTGAATTGGTTTTGGTACATTCCATGTGCATCCTGCTTCCTCACCCACCCACACGGGTGAACCCCAAAAAGGGTGGAGAGGCAGTTCAAAAACACCAGCTGCGTACGACAAGTGCTCTGAATGACTCTGAATGACTTGGCTTCTGAATGACTCGGTCCCCTCCATCACGGGTGTCTTCCACAGGTGCTGTCGGGCGGCGCTGGCGCTGGCGCACCAGTGGTGGTACTGTGCAGCTGGCCTCAGCTGCTTGGGGCACAAGGTAGGCTTGTGATTATCATTCAACCCCCCGAGGTGGAAGAGGTCTTACCCTCCAAATGGGTGATTTGTTTTTTGTAATTAATCAATCAAGAGTTGACATGGGTCCGGGCAAGGACTGGGTCAGGTTGATCACCTCTCAGGTGGACTTTCGGCTTTTTCGGCGAAACGGCCAGCAGAGTGAGGTTGTCGGTCCCAGAGCTGCGGGCCTATGCGGAGCACTTCAAGATTCTAGGTTTGGTCGTCCTTTCTGGTGAGAATTGTGACCGGTCAGCACGGCGAGTCGGCGGGCGGCTGAACTTGGGCGCTTTCGGGCGGAACTTGGGAGGGCGAGTCTGTCTTCCCAAGGGCCCAGGGTCACAAAGATGAATTCAAGAAAGCCTTGGATCCGCTCCAAACATTTAGAAGGGAAAGCGTTGGATCTGCTCCAAACATTTAGAAGGGAAAGCGTTGGATCTGCTCCAACGATTGGATGCGGTGTTTTTTCCCGTTTCGGCGTAGCGGATGGGTTCCCGCTTCTAGTCTGGGGGTTTGGGATCTGGACCTGTGTTCGCCTCGCGGACTTGGTTTGGTCGCGCAGTTGCCAAAGAGTCTCCCTGTTGGCTGCCCTTGGGGGAAGTTTTTTGGAACAGATTTCTATGGGACAGGTGTTTGATTCCATTTTTGTTAGGGGGGATCACTATATAATGTCCCTTGCTTTGGTGGAGTTGTAACGTAGGACCATGTAGGACCACCTCGCTCACTGCCCGTCCATCTTCCGAGGCCATCCTGCACCAGAGGTGGCAGCAGATGCGGTGGGCTGCGACCTTCTGAAAAGGCAGGACGTGGAGGCGCGGCCAGCGGCGCCAGCGGTCCGGAGATTCGAAGATCACACCGTTGGTGCCCTGCCAGTCTGAGGAATGCTTGAGATAACCAAGGATTTGTTCAAATGATATCGGCTTCTGATCTAGTTGAAATATTGAGATCAATTGAGCGTGTTTACGAGTTGAAGGATGTTGACAGAAGTGGCATGATGTTTGATGATGTTTGATTCACTGGGACCTGCTTCAGAAGGGGTGTTTTCTTAGCCCCCACAGGCCAATGTGTAGTGCCACCACCTGGGACAGTGCTCAAAGCTGTTGAAGGGAGCTAGTCACTTGGCGCCAGAGAGGACAATTCAGAACTTCCAGCGGGCGGCATCATGCCCGTCCAGCGGGAAAGCATGTAAGCGAGGCAAAAAGGTGTCCATATGTGTCCTTCTCACACAAGCTTCTCTCCATGACTCAACATTCCCCTCACATCTCCTGACGGTGTGGCTTGTTCGCTAAGGCGTTGTGGATCCAACGAGCATTAGAAGTGTTGTTCAATGTTGTTCACAAATCATTTGGGGGGTTGTTTGGTTGGGTGTGAGGTCACTGGTTTGTGATGGTTCGTGTGGGGTAGGTTGCCAAGATTTGAACGGCCTGTTGTCCCTCGGATTTGGCTGATTCACCTTGCTGGCTGCAGAGGTGGAGTGCCTCTCGCAGCCTTGTTGCTTGTGGAGCTTCGCTGCAGCAAAAAGTGCATAGCATTGATAGACCCTGGGTTCAGTGGGGGATGTATACTATGTGGCCGGCGAACAGCGCTGGAATGGATAGAATTGATATTGATTATGCAGACATATCTATATATATTTTTAAACATATATATATATATAGGCTCTAGACATCTCCAGCACAGACATATTCTGAGACATCGATTGAAAGCCGATCATGTGCGTATGGATTCAGGAATCCCTGTCTTGAACAAGTTGTGCGGGAAAAAAAGGAGCAGCAAGGTGTTCCTTCTCTGTGTGATTGAAAGATAGGTTGGTAACACTATGTAACAAGTAATAGCCTGATCAGATTCGTCATATTCAATTCCCAGCACCTTGAAAGGGGTCACCAATGGAAGCCCCTACACTACTAAGGGACCTCCATTGGATACCCCTTGAAGGTCCAGGTCTGTATATCCATATAACTGTTTCCTGCTGAGTCCCCTGGCGGACCACCCGCCCTCTTCAGGGCGGACCATCCCACTCCTTCGGCTCCGCTTGGTCACTCACTGACCCTCGGTGCAAAACCCTAGGCCCTAGGCTTCCGTTCGACCACTTCAAGACATGGGAGGGACTTGTACAACTGGTTTGGTGTTGAAAGCCTTGAGTAAAACAATGCCCAGACACTCCATGGGACTGCCATAGTTACATAAGATTGAATCATATTGACCCCATTTCAACCTCCCCAACTGATCGGTAAATATGCCAGTCAGACAGGTCGTGTTTGGGATATGGTTCGGGCCTTGGGCCAGGGAGGCGATCGCATAGGCTCGCAGAGCTCTGACCCACTTGGGTCAGATCGAACTTGCAGAGGTCAATCGAAGTCGCTTGGTGAAGTGTGGTATTTTTATTTGCCCAGACATGTCTAGCATAAATACTTGGTAGCTACTGTACGTATCCTTTCTCACTGCAGTCCTTTTTAGACTAATAGCTTTAAATCTTGGATTCAAAAACGTGCTCACACCTCACCCCGCCTCCCCGAAAGTCACCCACCGGCCGCCACGGCGCGGCGGTTTTTCGCCTCGGTGGGTCGGTGGGCGACGTCCAGGGCGAGTTGATGACGGGGAAAAACTCCAGTGAGAGGCGGTCCGGGTGTGATTTCACCGGGGATGTTCTGCTTGGGGCGAGGGATGGAAAGGAGGGGGCAGGGGGTTCCCCCCCGAAAGCCAAAAAGAAGGCTCTTTGGTGCAAATCAATGAAAGTGCGGTTAGGAAGATGGTTTTGCTCGGTGGTCTGTCAATTTCTATATATTTCTATGATGTATTGGAAGGTCGATGAAAGCAAGTTCTTTTGTGATGAGAATGACGAGAGTCATGGTGTTGGCGGAGTAAAGGCCTTCTCCGGAGCCGAGAAGTGGCGTTGGGACATGGTTGCAGCCAAGTGGCTTTGGGATCTGGGCTTTGGGATGATAGGCTATTGGGATGAGATGTTTTGGATATTTTGGGATGTTTGATGGAGCTATGGCACGACTTGCGAATTTGATGAGAGGGGCGTAGGGCAGCAGGATTCAGACCAATGACCGACAGCGAAGCATGGGCGCAACCTGCAGGCGAAGGGGGCGCGATGGCGTCGGCTCTCTCGTGGAGAAGGCGGATGGTATGTGCCTAGATGTTCCTACGTAGGCGAGTTCATCATATTTGAATATATAAGGTATAATACACATGTTGATTGGCAAAAAAATGTGACTGAGTAATTTGTGGAACCCTGGGCCACCCGTCCTGTACAAATACGATCAATTTGCCGACTATCTCCAAGACAGGAAGGCATTCCACGACGGAAAGAGATTGGACCAACTGGCGGCCGGTCATGGCAAGGGGAGACCTTGTTTTTCCCACGGAAAGCATGAACAGAATAGACGACCAGCCATGGTCAACCTACCATCTACGGGTTTTGACTGACAGCCATGTCTTGTTCTTTTTCTATTGGTCATTTCTTTGTTGCCACCAGGGCATCGATGAGATCCTGGAGAAGAAAGAGGACAAAGATGACGAGTTGAAACACAGGCGAAGATGGACCATGTGTTGCCCAAAGTGGTTTTTGGGGGACGGTTGCAGAGAGCGCCTGGTCAGCGCCTTTGGTGCGACCGGGTGCGGATGTGGAAGACTTTGGCCCCCACCAACCAGCTCCATGTTCAATTTGGTCGCAGGATGAGAAACAAGCAACTTAAGGTACAGGAAGCCCAGGTCGGCAGGTGCAATTTGCCTGCAGGTTGCCAGTCCACATGTGTGGACCCTGGCCCGATCTGAAGCCAAATTCGTGTTTTTTGCTTTCGGGGGGTTTTTCTCTAATGCAAGCTTTCTTGGTCCTTTTGCATGGACCCGGCCTAGCATGCACTTGCTCGCAAGCGGGGTGAATGATTAGCTTTGTTGGAGCCAAAGAATCAATCTTCAGGGTTGGTATGCCCAGACACTCCATGTATGCCATATATATACCTACATTGACCCCTCAAACCACCCCAATGCATATATGGCAGTCCCATGGAGTGTTTGGGTATGGGTTGGTGGAATTCAGATTGTTGTGATTTTCTTACTGATGTGGAGCCAATGGTCTATGATGGTCTTCAGGATTGAGAGCGTGGTAGAGGCAATTCAAAACGTTTGTGTGCATTTGGGTGTGCCTATAGGGTTGACAATGCTCAAATCATCCCAAATCCAACAACAGTCAAAAGCAAGACTTCAAAACTAGCAACTTCCTGGAGATGAAGATGCCAACCATGATCACCGCATCTACGAATATAGTGACGAAGTTGAAGATTATTCATGTGTACTGCCTTGGCCCTGACCCCGCTGCCATGCCACACCGGGCATGTCGCATGTCGCCACCTGTAATTCACCAGGCGCCGGCCATTCACTGGCAAGCCCGGGAGCTCGGGGGCCGTCCGGTCGACTGTAGGAGCCCGTTCTGTGAGAGACACATGGCGTGGTTCAAGCGAAAAGGTTCGACACAAAACCACAGGTTCGTCATCCCAATAGCTAAATTCATGTTTCAAGCCCCTCACATTGCTTTGTCGATGCAGTGGTCAACAACTGCTGGCTGCACCGGTGTAAAACAAACACCAAAACCACACACACGCACGTACGCCCGCCCGCCCACACGCCCGCGCGCGCGCGCATCTTTTTCAAGGGATCATGTCATGTTTTGGTGCAGACCAGTGCTGAGCCTTTCTTCCAGACGTGTGACTTCAACAGAAATGGCCCATGCCCAGTATTGTATGCCTACCAAGTTAGTGGACAACCTTGGGGATTGGTTTCCCCACAAAGCAAGAACAGGCACAGGTGGAAAAGGTGTAACTTCGATTTTCCCGAAAACGGTTTCCCCAGTCAGGACTTGCATGTGCTTGCCCGTTGTTTCCATGTGCTTGGCCCGAACTACAGGTCTCCTGCTTTCCCTTCCCCGGGGGCCGGGCATCACCGAGGCTGGGCTTAGAGCCTTTGCCTGAAGAAGGTGAGCCCGACGACTCTGAGGCTCGGACGGCCGGAGGGTCGCGTGGGATGCGCGGTTTGGTTGCTTGGTGAGGGCGGTTTGGTTGATGGTGAATTCGCATGCTGGAAATCGTGGTGCGGAAGATTCTCATATTTTGGCATATTTTGGCTTTCCAGGTCCCCAATCTATAAATCGAACATGGATAGGGCAGGGTAAGTGTATCTATAGGGTGTTGTTTTTTTTGGGGGGGCCGGAAATTTGGAAATGTTTTATAGCGTGCCCCAAGAAGTTATATACAAATATATATACACATATAGGTGACTGGTGACTCTTGCAGTCGACCCCCTTTTGGGTTTGACCCCCTTTTGGGTTTGGGATGCTCCTTGTCGATCATTCGCAGACCCAACGCATGTCCTGTTCATGTGTTGATCCTGTTATTTGGCGCCACTCAAACTCACCACCAGTCTCAAGAATCACCCAAGAATCGCCCTGCACATTCAGCATCAACATGCATCAAGCAATCATCCTCAAGGTGAGATTTGCCGAAACATCCTTCTAAAGAGGACCATCTTGGCCCACCATGGCGGTCGTAATGGCTCAAGAAGCTTCCGATCTCCCGCCATGCCCGCGGCGGTCTTCCCACGTGCTTCCAGGCGGGCAAATTGAACAGACACGCTGTGGCTCCAATAATTTTGGATCGCAAAAAGGGAAACAATAGAATATAACATATTAAATATACCCTGGGAGTCCAGTCGAGTATAAAAAGAATGGTCTGACTAGGGGTACCTGAAAGGAGATGTATCGTCTTTTTGGACTTTTAAGGTATATGCAGGTGTTGGTGGGACAGTCGTGCTTGCATACGGAACAACCATGAGCCGTCGCTTGGTAAAGTCAGAACTGCAGGCGACGCCACGGTGGTTTGAGCATCGAAAAAGACAATAATCTTTGGATGAACTGCTTGGAAAAAGATGTGAAAACTCATCTATTGCAAACACATCGTGGTTTTCTCGTGGCATTTGATTGCTTGTGCATGTCAAACTCACAACAATCTGTTTGCTTTTATACGTTTTCAGTTACGAACTGCCAACTCTTCGGATGCTACAGGTGGAACTGCAACCAATCAGTCGCGCATCCCAGATCTCAGTGGATCCACTCCGTTGCAGGTTCGGAGCCTTGCCATTGGCCCTTGGGGCCCTTGCACTGCTCACACCGTGTTCAGCGCCCTGGACGCTGGGTGGAGCGTTGAGTGGCGCTCGGACACCCAGCCAGGCTCACCGCCCACTGCTGCGGTGGGTGAGTTCCAAGATCAATACCTGGAGCGTTCATGCCACGGATGGCAGGGAGACGGGTGCACAGGGCCATTGGAGTGTGAATCCTACACACAGTGGTGTGATGTCATACACCGAACAGTACTGGGAGGAGAGCTATGGCCCTGTGAATGCTGGCGTGTGCGCTGGCACCGAGCTTCAAGGATGTGGGACAACTGATGTTTACTCAGGACCCTACCTGGAACTGGAGTGCTGGAACTTTCGATTTGGCTTCGAGGCAGGTTTCAGCAGTGATGGGCCCTATATGGGATGCTATGTAGCAGTTGCTCACGATCATGACGATTACCCCACTGAAAACTAACAAACTGACCCTGAAAACCACTGGTTTGTAGATGTTTGTAGAGGAAAACAGTCTTTAAGGGTGCCATTCGACCCGGGTCCATGTTGGTTTTCGGGAGTGTAAGGATCCGAAGAAGATGCAGGAGTTTCACCTTTGGCTTGATTTTGACAGCGAACCACTAGGCTGTAGCATCGTAGCTGTACATAGTTTGTGCATAAATATGTGGGAGGCTGATTGGTCCTTATGGGCACAATCACGAAAATGTATATATACCGAGACTTTGGGGCTTGAAAACTCAAGCAGCCGGTAGAACTAAGGAAAGCGGCCAGAGAAAGGGCGATGAATTCTTGCCTTGCAGTGGCGAGAGAAAGGGCGACAACGCATGCAGGTGTTTTGCCATACAGGAGCCATGCTGTTGATAAAGCCCAGCGTGACGAAGAGAATTGGAGTCTCCGATGTACAACCATCCTGGAGATGTGGGGCTTTATCGGGTTCAATTGATCAGCAACAACTACATCACATCATTTTGTGTAATTCTTGGACTCCAGTCCAATTTGGGTTTGGGCGCTGCGCTGCGAGGTTTGCCTGGCATACGCATGACGCATGGACGTTGGTGATTGTAGCGGTAGCGGTCTCCTGCAAACGAGCTTGATCCTGTAATTCACAAGGATGTCGACTGCCTACCTCATTCCTGTAATGTGCCTTCCTTAAGTGAGGTGCGCTTGTGGCCAGCATCGTTGCGGGTGAACTCATGTTGTTTAGGACCAGATTGGTTTGCCAGGGGCATTCGGCCCATTTCTGCCCCATGGCCAAGAAAAGTTCCTTTGTAGAGCATGACCTGCACAGTATGATGGTTTCGGTTTCTACATGTTTCTACTGACACCTCACTTTGTCACTGGATTCTACTGTAACTATGGTGTTCTTCGGTCCAATGATGTCCAATTCATTGAGAAATGCCAGGCATGTTAGTGGAGCAGAACGGCCAGCATAGGGTACACTTCCCATCAACATCTTCCAACCGTCGCTGCTTCGTCAGGAAACAGTTCCCAGGCGCGCGCGGGGGCGACGTCGATGGGGAACGGCGGGTCCGTCTTCCTGTCTCATCCGACGGCAGATCCACCTTCGACGGGCGGGGTCTTCCTGATCTAAGAATACTGCGCAAACAGTAGGAAGAAGATGGAAGAAATCTACGTATTGCTTTTGGGGCGGATCTTCCTTTTTGAGGTGTGATCCAGCCAACAGCTGTTTTTTCAGTATTTGTGCAAAGACTGCATCTAGATGTGCTGTGGCACGGTGGTGGACAGAAGTGGGAACACCTCAGAAACCCTAACTCAAAGAGCTATATTAAGTCAATTTCCTCTTCCTGTTGCACACACCGAGATACCGAATGGGACGACTTTTTGAGTTAGCCCTTCTTAGCCTCTTTGCTGATTGGGCGGCACCTTTGTTTTCCCTTCAAAACTCCGTCGTCATTTGTCCTTTGCCTGGTTGGCATCCATTTGAGTGTATGCTTTGCTGGAGGACTCCGACGTAGAAAAGGATTCTGGACTGATCCAGCCGGTGCTGGCCAGTTCATTTGTGCATCGCATGATGCGCGACCATTGTTTCATGCATTTTATTTTCGGGTCAGCTGAGTACACCGACAGATGCTTTGCTGGACACGAGACAATGGAATCTGCAGATAGGAACAGATCAAGCTCAGAATGGCTCAGCAATTGAGATGGGACCGAGCTCTCCTAGATGGCTACATTTTTTTAGATGAAATAATTCAAAGACCCAGCATGGAGACTCTCTAAGAAAGATCAAAACAACACGTGCCACCCAACTTTGCTCCTTGCTAAACCCTCAATGATACTTTTTGTGGAGAAGTCATTAGATGTCATCTTCGTCCGTTCTTCGTCATCTTCGTCCCGTCACAAAAAAACCTTGCTTCGGTGACCACATCCTGGGACTTTCATGCATTGACCCACAAACTGTTCAATCTGTTTGGGCTACCATCCACGATTGCAGCTTCACAAGACCGGCCCCAGACATCCTCAGACCATATCGCCATATCCCCTGTTCAACCTGCCGCTGTGTGGATTAGTCGCGTCACCGTCGCGCCTCTCCACAAACCGCTGATGGAGTCGGTTGCCTCGCTGTGTGCTTGCGCCCTGAAGTCTGTGGCCACCGTCGCTTGCTGCGCCGCCTGTGGCGTTTATGCCCGGCGGCAAGGTTGCTTGGGCAGTGAATTTAAACCCAGCGGGGCTTGGCTGAACTTTTCACGTAACGGAAACCCTGTGTAGAGATGTTTAAACATCGTTGAAGAGGATAAGACTGATAAGCAAGATGTCAATCTCTGTGTGTGTCATGTTGTATCCGTTTAATTTGTTTGCCACTTGTTTTTTGTTATTTGCATGTGTGCCCGTCCAATCGTTATCAAATTCACGGGCAAGCAGGGGGAAAACGCGGAACTCTGAGGAACTCTGAGCACTGGTCTTCTGTTGGTTAAAATGGGCTACACTGGTTTCTGCGTAGATGGGGATCCATATTATAAAGAACACATCTATAAGAACACAGTGTGTTTGGATGGGGAGGGATGATGGTCCATATACCGACCTTAAGGGGGTCACTGGTGCCAAATCCGTTTGCTTCAGCTGTGCACATTGAGTGATTCTAAGCGGGCTACCGGGCTACCCGTGTTGGCAGTGCTTGGTGGAAAACGAAGGCAGCTCGGAGGGGTTCGGACCTGGGGTGAGGCCCCAAATGGAAGGTGAGTCCTTGTGCAACAACTGGATACAACTGCGTATTTTGTTGGCGGGAATGATTTAATCATATTTAGCCAAACTATTCTACAGTAGTTCCCACGTAGGTTCCCACTGTCCTTGCGTTCTTCTCCAGGAATCTTGGATGAGACCTCCGAGAAATTCCTGGACAAGACTCCTGGCAATGACAGGTGGAAGCGTGCGGAGCAGGCAGCACATGGAGGAAACGGATTAGTTTTGAATAGTTTTGATATCTTGAAGTACTACCCCCCTGCAGACTAACATGGACCCCAACTACGCCGTGGAAGACCATTGTCCTCGACAGCCGAGTAGTTTTGAGAGTCCATGTTAATCTGGAGGAGGGTATGAAGTATATAGTATAGAATAGTGAATATATAGTATATATGACACCATAAACACTATATTTAACGTGGAAATAGCACCTTCATCATGATGTGCTGAGGGCATCATGCTGTTCAATCCGTTGAATTCGAATTGTCCATTTGATCAATTCGGCAAGGTCATGCGAACAGTTTCCTGTGCTCTTGGAATTTGCAATGCATTTGTTGGGGAATTCTGACATACCCACCTGCATGGTAGGGCTTCCGCGACATATTGGGACAACACGCTTATGGGTGCTCCAAAGCTCTAGGTGCTTCAGCTGCTCGCTTTTTCTGCCTAACTCATGAAGTTGATTGAAGTCAGCATTTGGCACCACGGCGGGGTTTGTGAGCGAGCCGAGGTTTGTTTCATCCGTGTGCATGCCTTGCCTTATCTTGAGGAAGGTGCGCTTTGGGCTTCAATGGGCCTTCGGAGAGAAAGGTCTGCTTGGAATAGAAGCTGTTGCTATTCCACACACCGTTCAGCGGTCATGCAGATTCATGGAGTTTGCTAGAAGTGTTGCGGGCAGCATGGTTTGGTGGGATATTTGCCAGCATATACCCACCAAATACTCTCGTATCTCTAGCACGCATATTCATGTTCATTTCAGGGAGGGGGGCACTCATGTTTCGCAAGGCACTTTTCGCCCACTCCAGCACTTTTAGAATTTCCCACCTGTGGCTCGACCCGCGAGGTGCCTCCATTGATTACATTGAAGGAGTTGGTTGCAATATGGCCACTGACTCTGGGCTGCCTTTGCACCGTCGTGCGCCTTGGGCAGCAACCCCCCCAAACGTATGAGTCCACGCACGACGGTGGATATCAGGAGTGACAAGCATGAACTGATCTGTTTCTTTTCACACATCTTCAACCCCCTGCTTTCGCCACACGTTTTTTTCTCAAAGTGGGGGACTGGAGCACTAGTGGCCGTCCTTGTTACTAGTAGCGATGCCCTTAGCTACCAGTAGCTTCATTGTTACTAGTAGTAAGGCACCTTGTTAAATCTCGTTATTACTAATTATGCACATCGGATCCCAAAGACTCATGACTCTTTTTGAAGGTGTTCGCCATGCTCCAGCTTGTGCCCTGAAACCGAATCGATTGATGCATGTAAACTCCCAAGATACTCGAAAAGTGAGTGGAGCAGCCAGAGTATCATCTGTCATGCTTCGGAAATGGCCAGCCTGGGTCCAGCCTGGTCTCCACGTCCACAGGTCCAGGTGTTTATTCTGCATGTTACAAGCTGAGTTTGTAGCCAGGTGCGGGCTGCTGGCCGGCGCTTTAGCCGCCTGGGCGCTGAAGATCCGTGTCTTGTTTCGGAGTCCTTGAAAAGGTTCGAAAGGTGGATCAACATATAGGAGGGAAGGATATGCAGAAGGCTCTAAAAGTCCAAGACTGGGAGACTTCCGCCGCCCCAGATTTGCACCTCCCAGCCTGCACCCAGACTACACGGCCAGCGTCGATCTGATCCCCTGCACTGGCAGGTCCGCGGTGCAACATGATGCAAGACAGGTATATGGACCCCTTGGATGCTCTAGAATAGCCTGGCAGCCAGGCATCCAAGGTTGGACACCTGGCTTCCAGCACCACCAAACGTAACATAAAAAAACATCCCGCTGAGATTTGTAGCATAAATCGATGTCAGAGCGAAACATGCGGTTTTCACGAAAACGAGCAGAATTCATATTTTAACATGCGGTCTTTGCCTCTCAGCCATTTTGGCTTTCCCATCATCTTCGGGGACCCTTCCCAGGCAGGTTGTTGTGCACGCTGTGAGTGCACTGCTTCCTCTGGCACCACTGCCTCAGCTTCCGGCAGGCTGGCATGGACCGTCGGTGCTGACTTTGGGAAGGAGGCCGGGTAGCTATTGCAAACATTCAGCCATGACCACATCAACAAATCAACAGTTAAGATGCACATGCACACCACCATCGTCGTGAGTGCCTGCAGGTGTGCAAACCTCTTTGTAGGGGAGAACAAGGAGGCCGGACCAGCAACGATCGGGAGGTCAGTGTTTGTGGGAACTTGCAAGCAGCTTTACATGTGGCTGCTGCAGCATTTTGCTCGTTTTTTTTGATGCTCTCCCTGGATAGTGTTCCCTCTAGCTATGGCAGCAGCAATCGCTACTGAGTGGGAGAAAATGCCTTGGTTGGTTCAGCTCGGGGTAAATGGTGACCTGGTTTACTACGTCGACAAAAAAACAAGATGCTCCACTTTGTCGCCGGGACGTCGTCAACAATGCCGAATTGTTGGGACCCCTTTTGCTACACCTTGGCAACTTGCATTTAAATATTTAATTACAATACTGCCATTGTTTCAGTTGAAGTATTTAACATGATTTAAATATTCATGATATCAAACAGATATACTTGTAGCAAAGAACACTTCAGCTGACTTAGGCACAAGACCATGCATCCAAGACATTGTGAAGGTGGTCGATGACTTTTTTTTGGAGAGTGCGTCCCAGAGGCAAGCCACCAGTTGATGGAATCTCGAATGCCCTAGTATAGGTTGTGGCAGCTTGCATGTGCATAGTACTGAAAACATAAGTCAGGGTGAGTCCCATCATGATCCGGCCCAGGAGCGACCGTGAAGATGCACGCGTGGGCTTTGCGGACCCTGGTAACACAGTTTTCACGTGCTGCCAAACGCCCGCACATCCCGAGAGAAGCTGCCATGAGAAGCCTCTACGTTCAAGCTGGCATTCCTTTGCCAGAGGGTAACTTGACATCACAGGGCTGGTACTAAGTTGCAAATGTTGAAGATTACCAGGTACCACGTGCAGTTCATGCTTAAACATATCTCCCTACCGATGTAGACAGACCTATATATAAGAGACCTCAATATATGTACGTCGACTTCCAGCCACTGCCGGCCACAGGTATTGATGCCTGCGAGGGTGAGGATGAAGGTGAGGGTTGGGAG